CGAAGAGTATTCAACTTAAATATCAATCAAAGTTGCTAGCTTCATCGCCCGATTAGTTCAGCTGGATAGAATGTCTGCCTACGGAGCAGATGGTCGTAGGTTCGAATCCTGCATCGGGTATACATTAATCTCACTTCCTCTTCATCCATCCTACGTCAATAAAATCGGGCATTCGATGTGAAGCTCCACCTACTTTACACAAGACGCTGAAGGCAAGCACGTGAGATAGTGGTGCGCACCAACGGCTGTACCTGAGCAATCCGAATTCCGCTCACGTATCCTGAATCAGCCACTCGATGTGAAGCTCCAACTAGTTTACACAAGATGCTGAAGGCAAGCACATGAGATAGTGGTGCGCACCAACGGCTGTACCTGAGCAATCCGAATTCCGCTCACGTATCCTGACGGATTGACCAATTACCGCCTAAACCATTTCGGAAGAGTATTCAACTTGAATATCAATCAAAGTTGCTAGCTTCATCGCCCGATTAGTTCAGCTGGATAGAATGTCTGCCTACGGAGCAGATGGTCGTAGGTTCGAATCCTGCATCGGGTATACATTAATCTCACTTCCTCTTCATCCATCCTACTTCAATAAAATCGGGCATTCGATGTGAAGCTCCAACTAGTTTACACAAGATGCTGAAGGCAAGCACATGAGATAGTGGTGCGCACCAACGGCTGTACCTGAGCAATCCGAATTCCGCTCACGTATCCTGACGGATTGACCAATTACCGAAGAGTATTCAACTTAAATATCAATCAAAGTTACTAGCTTCATCGCCCGATTAGTTCAGCTGGATAGAATGTCTGCCTACGGAGCAGATGGTCGTAGGTTCGAATCCTGCATCGGGTATACATTATTCTCACTTCCTCCATCCATCCTACGTCAACGAAATCGGGCATTCGATGTGAAGCTCCACCTGCTTTGCACAAGACGCTGAAGGCAAGCACGTGAGATAGTGGTGCGCACCAACGGCTGTACCTGAGCAATCCGAATTCCGCTCACGTATCCTGACGGATTGACCAATTACCGAAGAGTATTCAACTTAAATATCAATCAAAGTTGCTAGCTTCATCGCCCGATTAGTTCAGCTGGATAGAATGTCTGCCTACGGAGCAGATGGTCGTAGGTTCGAATCCTGCATCGGGTATACATTAATCTCACTTCCTCTTCATCCATCCTACTTCAATAAAATCGGGCATTCGATGTGAAGCTCCAACTAGTTTACACAAGATGCTGAAGGCAAGCACATGAGATAGTGGTGCGCACCAACGGCTGTACCTGAGCAATCCGAATTCCGCTCACGTATCCTGAATCGGCCACTCGATGTGAAGCTCCAACTAGTTTACACAAGACGCTGAAGGCAAGCACATGAGATAGTGGTGCGCACCAACGGCTGTATCTGAGCAATCCGAATTCCGCTCACGTATCCTGACGGATTGACCAATTACCGAAGAGTATTCAACTTAAATATCAATCAAAGTTGCTAGCTTCATCGCCCGATTAGTTCAGCTGGATAGAATGTCTGCCTACGGAGCAGATGGTCGTAGGTTCGAATCCTGCATCGGGTATACATCAATCTCACTTCCTCCTTCCATCCTACGTCAACGAAATCGGGCATTCGATGTGAAGCTCCACCTACTTTGCACAAGACGCTGAAGGCAAGCACGTGAGATAGTGGTGCGCACCAACGGCTGTACCTGAGCAATCCGAATTCCGCTCACGCATCCTGAATCAGCCACTCGATGTGAAGCTCCAACTAGTTTACACAAGATGCTGAAGGCAAGCACATGAGATAGTGGTGCGCACCAACGGCTGTACCTGAGCAATCCGAATTCCGCTCACGTATCCTGACGGATTGACCAATTACCGCCTAAACCATTTCGGGAGAGTATTCAACTTGAATATCAATCAAAGTTGCTAGCTTCATCGCCCGATTAGTTCAGCTGGATAGAATGTCTGCCTACGGAGCAGATGGTCGTAGGTTCGAATCCTGCATCGGGTATAAATTAATCTCACTTCCTCCATCCATCCTACGTCAACGGAATCGAGCATTCGATGTGAAGCTCCACCTTCAACTCTGGCTCCAGTGATCCTCTAACTATTTACACTTGACCGGGGAACTTTGATAGAGTTAGTCGACTAGGTGGTGTGGAGAGGACCGAAGACTTGCAGGGCTCCCCCCTCGACCTCGCTCGCCCATCGAATCACTTCCTCTGGAGTTGACCCTAGCCTCTGGCGAGACTTTCCATCAACTCTGGCTCCAGTGATCCTCTAACTATTTACACTTGACCGGGGAACTTTGATAGAGTTAGTCGACTAGGTGGTGTGGAGAGGACCGAAGACTTGCAGGGCTCCCCCCTAAAGCTTCGGTCACGGGACAGGTGCCCGACTAGGTGGTGTCGTATCAACGACTCACGTCTCACACGGGTCTGTCCCGTCACCCAAATCTCTCCACTATCCACCAAACTCTTGGCTTCACCAGAAACTTCGATGACACAATCGATCCATGTTTTTTTCTCATCCCCTCCTCTCGCTGTACTCCTTATTACCTTTTGTTTCTTTTTTTTTCGGTTGTGTCCCTTGTGCAGCACATCAAGGCTCTTTTGGCGTAGCCTTGCCAAGCTCTACTCGATTGACTCGAACCGCCTCCACACTTCACTGTGCTATCCTCGCATCCCGAATCTACCAGAATTGTGGCCCCACTATGCTATAGCTATGTCAGCTATAGGATTTATACCTGTTAGGACTTCAACTGCCTCGTCCGGTAGAACTCCTGCCTTTCCCGGAGGCTTGGATCTATGCGCCAAACGATTTTGGCCTTCTTTATATCCTCTCTCAACGATGGTCATCTCTTCTAGGGTGAAACTAACTCATGAACGCACCTTAGTCGTCTTTATCGCGCTAACATACTCCCGAAATGCTTCTGGAGGGATATTGGCTTGGTCAACGAGGGCCCGACCATACCGTTGAGTTTCTCAAAATGGCTCACCGCCGAGCGGTAGCTCTTCTCCGTACTCCCTCGTGTGGAGTCTGCTAGTAGTGCTGCTCTCCTTGCTTTTCTCTCTGATTTCGTCAATGCTCGGAAGGCCTTCATCGCCTCCTACTCGGTCGATGATCCACTCCCATTATCTGCCCTATATTTTTTTTTGTTTTGGCGATTGGAGAACTGCTAATATCCATCGAATGCCTCTCGTTGAATGAGACTCATTCGAAACACAACCGGTAGTTTCTGAAAGAACCTAATCCATTGTCTCCCCAATTTCAATTGCTCCGCCTCTTGCTACGAGCTCCTGAGCAACGAAGGTACTCCCCAGTGGACCTTCAGTGAGGATACCTCGCTCTTCCCAATTGTTGGTCAGGCAGTTCGTCAGAGATTATGACACTGACACATACATACTTTTGAAACATCACCAGACATCATACGCACTTTAGCCAGATAGCATAAGTACTCTGCTTCCCTGGCACGGTGGCACTTCTTTGTGGCAAACATGATACCTCTACCGCTACCAGCCAACCACAAAGCACTGAGATGAGCTCACTGAAGCAGCACGGCTCTCTCATACCCGGTCAGATCTTCACTTGAGCAGACTCGCCGTCTAAGCATTAACTAGTCTGAGACTAGTAGTCTCTGTCGACTCCTGGGTATCCGCTGCATCACATGGTATACGCATCGTACGAAATACACCCGAATCTACCAAAAGTGCCGAGAGCAAAGGGAGGTCTACCAGTAGGTATTGGTCACGAAAGCACGATACTTGGTTGTTGATCTCCTCAAGAACTCCCCTCTAACTCTCGTAGGTGGAGCACGTTTACCCGAGATTGAGTCCACCACCTTCTTGACCTCCCCTTTTAAGCGCACCAGCGATACCTGAGGTTGCGTTGTCAACTTCAGATCTAACACACCCTGGTCACTTTTGAGTGTCTGTAGCACTCGCTACTTCAGGAGAGAGCCTCTTGTAGAAAGTCGCCAAGAGCGTGTCATTGGTCAGTATTACTGACTCAGTAATCCTCCAAGATCGGTCACCCTGTCGATGGTCTTACCATGGAATGTGCCGACTGATCTAGTAGCTAGTTCAATGGTACAGTCGGCTCCTGGTACTCTCATTTCCGATATGCACGTATCCTACAGCGTGCCCGTTTCCACACAAACTTCGTCGCCGACTCGATCTTACTAAATCCTCATACTGAGGGTTAAATTCGCGCTCGGGGATATTTTCTCTACTTGGAATTCCAAATCCCAAGCCTCTCAGCGAGAGGCTCTCACTAATAATACCGTCAACTGGGTCCTCGCACTGAGGATAGTGTCTGCGCTCGAACATGCGTTCTCGAGCCTCTCGCTAACAACTTAGCCAACTAGACACTCCCACTCAGTATGGGATCAGCTTTGCTGACGCGTTCCTGAAACTCTCACTAACAATATGGTCAACTGGGCCTTCACCACGGGGATAAGATCGGCGCTCAATGACGCGTTCCTAAACCTCTCACTTATAACACGGCCGAACCGGCACTCTCACTCAGAATAGGATCTGCGTTCAATGACGCGTTCCTAATCCTCTCACTGACAATAGGTCAACTCGACACTCACACCGAGAGAAGATTCTGCGCTCTATGACGCGTTCCTAAGCCTCTCACTGACAATAGGCCAACTCGACACTCACACTGAGGGAAGGATCTGCGCTCGATGACGCGTTCCTAAGCCTCTCACTGACAATAGGCCAACTCGACACTCACACTGAGGAAAGGATCTGCGCTCGATGACGCGTTCCTAAGCCTCTCACTGACAATAGGCCAACTCGACACTCACACTGAGGAAAGGATCTGCGCTCGATGACGCGTTCCTAAGCCTCTCACTGACAATAGGCCAACTCGACACTCACACTGAGGAAAGGATCTGCGCTCGATGACGCGTTCCTAAGCCTCTCACTAACAATAGGCCAACTCGACACTCACACTGAGGAAAGGATCTGCGCTCGATGACGCGTTCCTAAGCCTCTCACTGACAATAGGCCAACTCGACACTCACACTGAGGAAAGGATCTGCGCTCGATGACGCGTTCCTAAGCCTCTCACTAACAATAGGCCAACTCGACACTCACACTGAGGAAAG